ATGAATTATACAATTCGAATGTCTCTTCTATGTGTCTATGTGTAGTTGGGATACTGTAATCAACTACAGGTTATGCTGCCTATACTTGAACACTAATGAAGTATCAATCAAAAAGAGAACAATACAACCAAAAAACAAACATCAACAAGAAAAAATGGATTATAGGTAGAAAAGAGTAAGTTGTCGGTATATTATGGAAAAAAGTAGAACAAAAGCATAAATGGAAATCTCCAGGATGTGCGTCGTTGGTTGCGCTTTGGTTATTTTCAACTTAGGAACCGAAGTTTATCCGTTTAAATTGAAAAAATTACCTAAGAAATCTTAAATTTGTTGTGCGGTTGCCAATTCAATCATGAAATTTCCAATTTGGCCAATATAGTCCTAAACATTTTGACAATTTTTCAATATAATCATTCCAGCCAACTTTGACTAGAAATAGCAACATGATGTCCGGTCATCGCTGGCAGTCTTACATGCCACGGCCAACAATCTAACTCCACTCAAAACGACATCTTAAACCTGTTTTACTACCGGAATGAAATATTTACCATTCAAAAATTGGGAAAATTACCCTAGAAATCTTAAACTTGTTGTACAACTGTCAACTCAATCATAAACTTTCTAACTTGGCCATTGTAATCATAAACAAATTGACAATTTTTCAATATAGTCATTTCGGTCAATTTTGGCTAGAGATCGCAACATGACATCCAGTCATTGCCGCCAGTCTTATGTGCCATGGCAGACGATCTAAACTCCACTCAAAACGACATCATTTTGATAAATTTTATAAATCTTCTCATTCTTTTCCTTTTTTATTTTTTTTTTCCTTTTCGTATGTGTTCATCTTATCGAAAACAGCCAATGGGAGTAGTCAGGGTCTCGACAATATCGCCCACCATAGCAAGGGCCACGATGCCCTAGCTAGCCATCACCAACCCAACGACCCTTATCGATTCTTTCCAAGAGGATGAATAGTGAGGAAATGGAAAAAAAGAAAAAAGAAAGAAAAGAACAAATAAAAAAATTATAAAATATCTCAAAACAACCTCATTTTGAGTGGTGTCGAACATGTCAAATCGCTAACCGTGCCACGTAGGACAACTGGTGCTGACTGAATCACCACGTCAGGAATTTTCAGCCTAAATTGGCCAGACGGACTACATTGAAAATGTGACGCCCCCACCCAACGTGACGTCCCATTCATTGTTATCTTCTTTACGCATAAGCGGAAGTCCCGTTCATTATTATCTTTCGTTACACACAAGCGGAAGCATATCTCGGGACAATCACAATCAATACACACAGCGGAAATAAGACAAGAAGCATCATGAGCAAACCTCATGCAACATATTTTAACAAGCTCGTTCTTTTGGGTCATGGCAATTATCACATATTTTCATAGCCGACTATAAATAGCAAAATTTGACTTGGGTTATCCTATACCCACTATGGCTTCTCGCTCCTCGCTTCTTCACCTCTACCCCAGTCCCGTCCGCCTGGCCATCTCATATCCCACCCGTGGCCTTGTCCCGGAGCCGGCCCGCCCGCACCGCCAAAGCACCGTTGAACCCACATAGGGATCCAACCCATTCTTCGTTCGCATAGCGATACCACGCCACGTACGGACGAGGCACCAAGTCCGTTAGGCCCTCATCGAATCGTCACAAGCGCCGTGATTCGGCGGTAGGCGCGGTCTTCTCTGATATCTATCACGGTGAGCACTTCGACTCGCTGCTCCACGGGATTGCCAACGCGAGCTGGGGGAGATGCCATCCTACGGACCTGATAAAGGGAAACAACGGGGGATGAGTCGAGGAGACTCAGCAAGTGAAAACACTAATATCAAGCGAGGATATATCAATTGCCGTTAACATAAGTCGGCCCTTACCGCACCCGCATCGATATCAGATCAATAGCAAAGTTCAAACAAGAGAACATCACGCACGGTCACATCATGTACACTTTACCAACCAAGGATCGGTTCTATCTCAAAACAACATCAAACATGAAACATGATCAAACTAAGAAAATGAACCAACTACGACCAACCAAACGATCGAGAAACGGTCCAAGCAAACCACGTCATAACGTATCTTAACATCATTTCCCGATATTAGGGAATTCACTTACACAACAATTAAACAAGAACAAGAAAGGAACACGGGAGTCTCGGCGGTTCTCGAGCTTGAACACGTGAATAAACGGATTTTGGCATGAGGCTTGAACACGTGGAAGATGGCGTCTCGACCTTGAGCTCTCTAGTTGCCGAACAACAAGAAGAGGCACGGGCTAGTCGGTGAGCTCTTTATGTGGCCGCACAACAAGGAAGACGAGGGCTAGGTGGTGAGGCTCTCGTTCTCTCTTTCACTTGGTGTGAAAACAAGAAGCAAGGAACCAAGAAACAAGATGGTAATGGCTTGAGGTTGAGAGTGGCGTGAGAATGGAGGATGGCGCGAGAGAGAGAGAGAGAGAGAGAGAGAGAGAGAGAGAGAGAGAAGAGGGGGGGGAGGGATAACAAGCCAAGGTCAAGAGAGACACAAATGTCATTTTCACAAGGGTCCCTAAAGTCTAAAATCATTTAAGGCTTGTCATGAAGATGTGCCCCAAAGTCTAACTTCAATTAATACAAGCCATTAATAATCCTTATCTCTTCCTCTCTTTCTCTCTCTCGGCCGACTCTCTTCTTGGCCGACTCCCCTCTCTCTCTCTCCCTATTAATAGAAGACTTTTCTTGGTCACTACTCCAAGCCATCAATGCATGTCATCATGGAGGGGCCCTAAAGTCTTGATTCATTAATGCAAGCCATCATGAAGGGCCACCAAAGTCTAACTTAATTAATAAGGGTCATCATGAAGATGACCTAAAAGTCTAAGCCAATTAATGAAACTTGGAGGATAAGCTTTGACTTGGTCAAGGCTTCTAGGTTCTTCTACCAATTTCTAGACCGTGGACTCCCTAGTCTTCTGGATTTACTGAATTCTCACGCAAATGACTCGGGCCAATCGGATCACACAAAATAGACCAATTGGCACAGAAACCACAACCCACGTCATACTCAATCACAAGATTTTCTGAAAGTTTTCCGCGATAAACACGCATAATAATTCCATCCAACCCGAGGTTCGGTGTGGGAATATCCTCAAATATCACCAAAAGACATCAAGTCGAGATTCCAACGTTCTCATATAGAAATTGATAAATTTTTGAAATCTGACAAAACTGAACAGCTTTGCACTGTTCACAAAATCGGACTTGAAAACATAGTAAATGGACTCCGAAAATTCTCAAATTTGAATATGTCATAAACAATTCCTTAACAAACATTTCTCATGAAGAACACAAGATCGGAATCTTTCTATAAACACCATTTTTAGTAGCTCAAAAACAGACTAAAAACAGTTCGCCGGAACAGAATTCTTGTTTCTCAAAGTAAGCTCTATCCAGAATCCAAATCATTTCGAAAAATTCCCAAGTTTATATATGTTATATAAAAGGAAGTTCTCAACAACTTTTGTGAAGGAAAATTTTCCAAAATCATCCCAGAAAATCTTGTAGAAAATAAATAAATTGTGAACATCACCGAAATACCCATTCTGGGCAGTTTTACATGGTCCGAAAATCAGGCCATCGTACCACTCATATCAACTCCAAAAATTCTGAAATTAAAATATGTAAAACCTCAAGATGTTTGGAGAAACTTTCAAGAAGAAAGTGTTTGGAAATTCGGATCACAAAAGTCTCCCCAAAAATAACAAAATCAAGAGGTACAAAGGATCCGAAATTGGGTTTTCCAAAACAAGAGTAAAAAAATTTAGTTCTGATTGGAAAACCACCAAACTTAAACCATAACCATTTCCCAGGGACTGAAATTGAGGATGTGACAGAAAAATCGTCAAACGGTTTAGAAGTACATTGGCCAAATTGGAAAATTTAAGAGTGAATTGGCAATTGTACAATAGATTTATGACTTTTTGGACTTTTTTCTCGTTCAAACCCTATTAATTACATGCAAACTACTTTGGGTTCAAATCAGCTATGAAGAGCTAAAAGCCTAAAGTTAACCGTTTCGTAAGGCTTCTACACTGTTCCTAGGTCTCCAGATTGTTGCAAAAAAAAAAAGGCAATCAAACAATTAAATAAATAGAATAAAGAAATAAATAGACATGAGATTTACGTTTTTCGGAGATGGGACCTACTCCATAGGGAGAGTAGTGCGATATTTCACTATAGATCGAGTAATAGAACGTAAATTATAACTATACTCGAATAACTTAAATATTGGTTAACTCTTACAATTTTTTACGAAATAATCTTTCAATCTCACAAATGAATTACATAAAATCTTAATACAAGATTTTCATGACTTCAAACACTTGAGATGTAATTCTCGTGCACATTCTACAATTGATTGTCATTATCAATAGCTAGAGGTGGGCAACATGGGTCACAAACCCATTTATTAACTCAGATTTAGTGGGTCTAGGTGGAATATAGGCCACTTAAAACTTTAAAATGGGTCAAAATAGGTTTAAAACATTAAAGCCTAAGTTTATACGGCTCCCTCTTTTCCACCGAATTGACACTGTACTGAAATGGTTGAAGCTCTCCGTGTAACCTTAATTTTAATCAAGGCGAACGGGGATTTGACTGTGTTCATTGTGACCATTTTCATCAGCTATCGAATCTGAGGTTTCTTGAGTGGAATAATGTTGATCTTGTAGGAAATCCGAGAATCTTCTTTCGAACTTAGTATGGCTTAAATGGCGAGGATGCCGTGAGAAATCTAAGTTATTTGCATTGAATATGAAGAACCTGGTAATTCTCAACTTATGTTTGAGCCCAGTCGAATTGAACTTGGAAGACAGGAAACTATTGATGCTGGTATGGGGTGTACGTGCTTGTGTGCTTCTTTATTTACAAATGCGCCCTGCACTTTTATCTTAGGACATTATAGTTGAAGTAATAACTAAATATATGAATCATGTTGTTTTTGCAGAAAGCTGGGAGTTTGAAAGTCTTGAATCTAAAAGGCTGTCCCTGGATCACTGCATCTCTGGAATTCCCTGCCTCGATGCCTTTAGAATGCTTGATCCTGGAAGGTTGTTTATTATCAACTCCAACAATTGATGAATCCATTACTAGCTTAGAAAATCTAGTTTCCTTAAACATGAAGCGTTGCACATCGATGAAACATTTGCCACCAGCACTGTGTTCCCTGAGAGCAATGAAAGAGCTTCTGATTGACGGAACTAAAGTTGAAAGACTTCATTTTGAGGAAGGCTCTTTGCCAGCACTGGAAATCCTCAGTGCTTGCGAATGTGAAGTATTGGGTGAAGTCACTGATTCCATTGGATTATTAAAGAATCTTTGGAAGCTTACTTTAAGAAGTTGCAAGCGGCTAAAAGGACTTCCACATTTCATTGGAAAGCTTGTTGGGCTACAGGAAATGGACCTGTCGTACACCTTAATCAATGAATTACCTTCTTCTGTCAAGGAATTGAAAAAGCCTGAAGTGCTAAAGATGGTTTATACTGACCTAGAAGAGTTTCCTGAAACCATAAAAGATCTTGAGAAGCTTCAAGAGTTGGATTTCACCCACTGCAAAAGTTTGAGTGGAGATTGCAGCATCACAGGATTGTCTTCTTTGAGAATCTCGAGATTAAAATGTACAAGAATTTCTCGCGTGCTCATTGGAGATTATGGGCATTCTAATCTCTACGTCCTTGAGGAAGATGACGGCGTCGAGTTTATCAATCCTCTCGCAATTTCGCTTTAGGTCAGACCTTCTTATCGACAAAATGTAGATGATTCTGTGGATGTCATGCTTTAGTCTCGAAGGTTCAAAACTAAGGTATGTCTTGGAAATTTCTTATCCATGTGGGCTTAAACGAGTAAGTGGATAACTGAGAAAGTTGACTTCGTCAAATGGCTCTTCTCTTGATAGGTTACATTACTATTGATGTCAGAGCCATTGAATTTTGCATTAGTGGGCATGAATTGATGTCAAGCTATGTTTCTAAAAAGCTTGAACTTGAAGTGCGATCATGTATTTGGAAAGACACTACTCTTCGTTCCTTTTTCTTTTTTCTTTTTTTTTTTTGTGCTTGGAGACACTGCTCTTCTTATGACAGCATGTATCCGGACCTTCTTATCGTAGTTTACTCCTTGGCAGCATTTTTGAATTAGCTTGTTGCATCATCTTTGCAACTGGTTCTGTTTTGTCTTCCTCACCGTCACTAGATTGGCAGGGTCACCTTAGTTGTTTTTGTTTTTTGTGTCTCAATTTATTGAGTTTTCTGTATGCAATTTTGTTTTCTTTTTTCTCTCTCTTTCCTTTCTCTGTTTTCTTTTTTCTGCATAGGGCTATTATCAGCATGTATTTGAAGTGAAAAGAGGACAAAGCAAAGGGAAATTATTTGGAAATGCAAGAAGTTGAGTTTGAATGGCCTAATGCTATTTCCTTGGTTTGCTGCTTGCAGTCATCCTATGCTGTCATTCAGATTGTGCATAGGTGCCAAATGCAAAACAAGCCCCAAGGAAACTCAGGCAAGCTGTTGCTAAACCCAACTGGACTTCCTCGTTGTAGACACGGTTGCTTCATTTTATATTGTTTTCTCATTGTTTTTTCCTCTGTTTCTCTTCCTCTTTCTCCTGCTTCTACGGAGCGTTATCTAGATCAATTATCAATAAGAAATTCATTAGATGCAACTGGAACAAGCAAAAGTGCATCAGGTTAGGACTGTCATCGTGGCTATGTCCCAATTAATTATCGAGCACACAGGCCTTAGCTCCTTGCTTAATTTGAATCAGAAATTTTAGGGCCACAGTGGTAATCTCAATCTTCAGAATACATGTTGAAAATACAATGTCATCCTAGACCAAACATGAACATATGGTGCTGAAAACCTAATGAGAAAGCAGCAAATCCATACTTAAGTAGACACAGTAATAAATCATTTGATTAACCGAGTTGTGAAGCATTTGAGTTCTATGCTTCAAGATGGCTTTAGTTCCGGGATGCAACCCAGGAATTGTGTCATCCAGAACCAATTTCAGTATAGAGTTTGCTCTGAGATGATACATTTGTTTGCTCGAAGTAGATGTGAATCTCAAAGAGAGTCTGAACCCAAGACCAACATCCGGAAACATTTCCCTAAACACTAGGGCCAGCAGAAGATTTTCCATTTATGGTCATAGAATCATATGTATTGACTTTAGCAATTCGTGTCTTGGATCTTTTTTCCTCGTAAAGAAAGACCAGCTTTCTCGGATGAACTAAAAGTTCTCATCAGATATAAGAACTTTACCAATTATATTTCCATATGCAATAGTTCATCATGCCATTTACTCATTTTAAAGTTCCATTCTACTCAGAGTTTGGTTGTTTTGATATTGAAAAAATTCTCTTATGAGAATGATACCTGGGATACAAAACATGTCATGGACTTGACGGAAACCAAAACTTCATCTGATCTCGCTTCGTTCACTGTCTCATGATATCCTTTGACATAGCTGATAGAGATTGTGTGATTAGGAGTGCATATTATCAAGGCACAGTCAGCCTATGACCTCACTCAGGATGCAATGTCTGAGGATGTAGGAAGATGGCTAACAGGAACTTGCGAAACCACAGGAGGCCAACGTCGTGATCATGCTCGTTGGAAACTAGGCGGACCTGCATCGTCTCCAAGCCATTTCCACGAGAGATGCACTTTCCTTGTGGAGTACCATGCTCTAGAGGCACTTAATGTCAAGAGCACCTTCACGGAACTGTTGACTCAGATCTCAGATGTGTCGTGTGCTCTGCAGGAAGGCTCTCGACATAGGTGGTGGCCCTGCAGCTTTGCCGATGAGATAGACAATCGGAATTGGGAACAGGAACGCAGTTTCAGCTGTTGAGAAAGCCGGTTGTTGGTCTTCATGGGAAATCATGGTTGTGGTTCGAAATAAACAAAATTTATCAGCTTTTTCATGGCATCATGCTCACCTAGGATTCAAGATATTAAAAGCTGACCTCACGAAATCATCACGTAATTAGGAAAGCTAATAGCATATTTATGTTTGCGAGATTTCTCGAACGGCTATGACACTCGGGGGTACATTAAGGCCCCCGCTATTTGTCCTCCGATGACCGAGTCCGTAGACTCATCAAACAAATGAGAACAAGTCGTTGGATGGAGAAAGATTTTGTTTCACTTAGGGTGGACTGTAGTTGTACAAGAATCATTTTCTAGTTCTGCTGTGTGTTTTAACACAATCAACATTTCTAATTCACAAAAGTCCTCAGCAAAAACACACTTTCTTAGTGAAGAAGTAACAAGATTAAGTGTAACATATAAGAAATGAACAGGCCTATAAAATTGGTGCTTGTAATCAAGTCGGTCCATGCGAAATAGACCTAAAAACTGTGAGGAGATAATGACACAAATGGTCCTTAAACTCTAGCCTTATGTGCAATATCGCCCTTGAACTTTTAATTTGTTCAATATGGTCCATAGGCTTTTTGGTACATGTTCAATTTAGTCTATGGACTGTATGGGAATGTTTAAGGTTGTCCTTTCATTAATTCAAGTTCAAGGACAACATTGAACATTTTCATATAGTTTAGAGACTAAATTAAAAATGTACCAAAAGTCCAGAGACCACATTAAATAAGTTAAAAGTTCGAGGATGATATTGCATATTAGGCAAAAGTCTAGAGACCATATTGAACATATTTAGAGTTCATGGATCACATTACATATTGGATTAAAGTTTAGAAATCATTTGTATCATTTGCCTAACTGTGAGAGCTTCGCGCATTCTCTCTTACCTTTTTCGTCTTTCTCCAACATGTTTCAAGCTGCCAACAAAGTCGTCCATATGTCGCTCTGCTGTCTGCACTACATTTACCTCCGTGCATACTCCGCCGGGCGAGGACCTTTGGACCTGATTACAACCCAGTACATCCACCATGACCATAATAAAGAAACATTTTGAGCCATCTGATGCCATCGAAAATTGGCCTAATCCCAATTATCATGCCTCGCTTGCAAAATGTCCCCAAAAAAGCACGTAGAGGACAGTAAAGGCATCACTTTTCCAATGTCCCAAAAAAAGGCACATTTTCTTATTCTAGGGATAAAATAGACCGATGACATCTTTTTCGTCCGAATGATCATGCACCGCAGCAATTCAATTTGATTGACCAATACTCATATAACTGGTCAAATCAGTAATTTATGGGCATTTATGCAACGTCCGAAGTTTGATTGGACAATGACGCCGTATGTGACATTTTAAAATTGGCTTGAATTTTCGCTGCCTACAGCCATTTTTGTCCCTCAAGTGAAAGTACATCCCATGTTTTAGAATATTTGAAAAGTGGTCATTTTTTCTCAGATATGGTCATAGAAAGATCGAATTAACCTTGAAACCTCACAATCCAACTTCAAAATCAACCTTGGGTACATAAGCAGAGATGCTTGGCAGCGTCAACCCATCGTGGCTATGATAATGAAGCTTAACACAAATAGCCTCGTTCTTGTAATCACAGTGCCTATTTATCGTACCATCTTTCTATCAGGGTAATCCATATATTAACTGGACAGTCAGGATACGAGGTTCTTAGCCTGAACTAGTACAGGAAGGAGCAGTCACCTGATGTAGCAACTCCTGAGCAAAACATTGCTCTGCAAAGTAGCCGAACGTCGTAGATTTTCTAAATAGTCACCAGGAAACGCCTTTAGTCATAGGAAGGCCAATCGAGAACAGTACCACATGCTTTCAGTAGTAAATACTGGGAAGAGAAAATATACTGTCCGCACCAATTGCGAAAATAGAAAAGTGATGTCTTTAATCGGGGGGGGGGGGGGGGGGGGGGGGGGGGGGGGGGGGGGGGGGGGGGGGGGGGGGGGGGGGGGGGGGGGGGGGGGGGGGGGGGGGGGGGGGGGGGGGGGGGGGGGGGGGGGGGGGGGGGGGGGGGGGGGGGGGGGGGGGGGGGGGGGGGGGGGGGGGGCAAAAAAAAATTTGTGGTATTAACCACTTAATCTTAACATATTCTTTTTGTTGTTTTGCAAGAGAACACTCCTCTGTGCGCGCACTCTAAGGATCATTTGCGAGCATCTGCCTTCTTCAGTTCTTTGGCTGTAGATGAAAGAGAGTTTTTGAATCAGTTTTGGTGATAAGGGTGAAACCAGAACGACAAATATAGCAGCCTCAAAGACTTTAGCAGCTTTCTCCTCTTCTCGCTTCTTGGCAGCTTCTGCTCTTTGTTGCCGAATGAGGGCTAAACGCTCTGCAGGAAATAAGATTGCAGTAATGAGCACCAACAACCAATACTAGAAAGGAGAAGGAAATGGATACGATGAATGATCATTCAACAAAACCAAAGAGAAGAAACTGACGGAGAAGATAGTCAAGATCGACTTTCTAGTTTGCATGGTTATAACATATAGAATATCCAAGGATTCATTAGATGCAACTCGAACAAACAAAAGTGCATTGCATTAGGACCGTCATCGGACCTACGTCCCATCCTCGTTAATTTATCGAGCACACCGGCCATAGCTCCTTGCTTAATTCAAATCAGAAAGTTTAGAGCCACAGAGGTTCTCAATCTTCAGAATGCATACTGAAAAATACGATGTCATCATAGACCAGACCATGAACATTTGGTGACAAATACCAAATGAGAAAGAAGCAAATCCATACAAAGGAGACACAATATCTGGTTAACCGAGTTGTGAAGCATTTGAGTTCCATGCTTCAAGATGGGTTTCGTTCTGGAATGCTTAAGAGTAAGTTGGCTTTGAGCAATCATCACGTAATCAGGCAAGCTAATAGCATATTTATGTTTGCTAGATGTTTTTCGAACGGATATGACGCTTGGGCTTACATTAAGCACCCTGTTAGATTTCCTTCAAAGACCGAGTCCGTAGAGTATTCAACGAATGAGAACAGGTCGTAGGATGGAGAAAGAGTTTGTTTTATCTAGGGTGGACAGTAGTTGTTCAAGACTTATTTTCTGGTGTTCCTGTGTTCTAACACAATCAACAAAAATAATTAACAGAAGTCCTCAGCAAAAACACAGTTTTTTAGC